AAGATGAAAAGAAACAAAGGGGAAACTGAGGTGAAGCACAAAGTGGAAGACCTTCTTACAAAGTGGTATACTCGAAGCCAATGTTGAGAAACATACCGTGGCCTATAGGACCAGCAACAAACCCACTAGAGATTGACGAAAAGATTTGAGAGGAAAAGATTGACGCATGAAGCATGTATAATATATCATCCTGATAAAGTGATAGGTAAACTAGAGAGTGCAGGCATAAGGATCCACGACAGAGAGGTCATCATACGAAAAGCAAATGATGTGACAACTACACTACTGGCCTCACGCCGAATATAAAGTTGTTGAATCGCTAATTGCGTTAAGTGGAGTCAGAAAAGACAGAGGATACATGAAATTCGAATGTGACATTGTAGCGCTGACAGACAACAGCGAAGACAACGAGCGACATATTGGATGCACGGAACGCGAAACAAGCCCTCGTAGGGTAAACATCCGACACGAAAACATGGACACCGCAATTCAAAGCGAGTAGATGAAAACGCGGGCGAGCGAGATGTCGAAGGTTGTAGCGCACGCCCGATGGATCTACTCGTGTAGCCATTAGGTGTTGGAGAGCAACGTTGCGTAGGCTGTTGAAGGTGTTGTAGGCCCCTATGGCTGACACTACAATTACAAGGAATTCTGACGGGCCGTTTTTGAGATCGGTGACGCAAATGTGAAAGCTGGAACTGAGTCTCGCGGCGCGTCACAACCTAAGGCTGCGTGGGACCCTCCCCACTTCGCCACTGATGTAAACCGGGTAGGGCCCTTTCACCCAGTGTGAATCTTATCTTGGGCTGCAATACTTTGGGGATATTTCCGATGAGACCGAATTCCTAACGATTAACCTATCCAAGCCTGCGGGGACTCTAGCGAGCTCAGCCACGTTTACAGCAACCGAGAGCTGCTCTCCCAAGGCAAGGATTATCGCTCAGGATTTTTATGTGAGTGGCACCTACACTTCTGGCGATGTATTGGGCCTAAACATTGACCTGAATATATTCGACTTGAGTGTCAAAGCCAAGTCGGTTAAGGTGGGCATGCAAACTCAGTTGAGCCAGGGGAATGCTATCGCTATGGCATCGACGACGGGTGGATGTGCTACTATATATAAGGGGCCCTCAGTGTCATAGCATGCACGAAAGGAGGGATGGAATCAGACACTTCCCGAAGATTCACGCGTATATATCGGATATCAGCGTGAACGGAAAGCTGGTTTCGAGATCCCAATGAGCCTCCTACCACGCGCGATTACGCTGTGCCGGATTACATGTACGCTGGAAATAACTTCGATATTGGTACGGCTCTCAGATCTTTCAGTAGAGGCGGGACACCCAACGACTTGGGGATGAATGCAACCATCTCGGCGGAAATGGAAACTGTCAGTATCTCCTTGTTCACCTGGCACGTCTTTATCGGACTCATCTTCCATGTTTAGGATCATGATGATCCGATCATCCAGATGCGCGGGTTCACCGGGAGGTCAAACTTATGGACACTATACACTATTACTAAACTGATCTGAGGAAGGTCACTCTATTACGTGTCAGGCAGTGGTCATCTTACACTAGCACCAAAGTACTGCTACGTGTTGATTACTATAACACGGTTTTCACTTTTCAGCTCCATTCATTGCCACAAATATGGCTATTGATCCAACTGCTCATCAGATGAGCCTCAACTAGAGTCTAGAATAAAGACATTGTCTCGAGTTCCAACGTGTGTGACACACTGTGTGTATGATCTGCGACCCTAAATGTTCGGGCCTTAGATTTCCTATTTTGCTAGCCTCGCTGCATCGTGTCACGAGTATCGTGTACATCACTGTCTCGGAGACAATGTCTCCTCATGCTCTTTATGTATGTTTTATTACATCCATAGAGGGCATTGTTATCTGATATTATCATCAGCTATTTCTGTCTCAAATCAATTTGCTTTCGCTGAGTCATCTGGGAAGGATGACCACATCGTCAGGTTGCAGTGACTTGTGCGTGAAGGTGACGCACAAGGTTGTGTGCACGTTGGCCTGCACACGTGAATTGGTCGATTTTCCCGTAGCTAAAACCAGGCCAACCGCTCATAAAGCATTCTTCCTTTCACGCCATATCGGCTACTAGTGTCGATTTGCACAACAGTAGACCCTGATCGGACTTGCTGGAATCAGCTTGAGAAAGTATACACATGGCGAGCTATATGCGTTCGTGGTAGTACAAAAATTCCGAGGAAATCTTGGGAAATTCTAATTGGTTTCTATGCACTTCTGCAGTA